TAGGGAACCAAGAGTTTTGCCTTTAAAAGCAAACCAGGTGTCCATTACCAGGAAATTAAGTGTTGTCTTCTACACTGGACCACCAGATCACTTGGGGTCACAGATCACACTCCGAGAAGCATTGCCAGAGACTGAGGAACTAAGGGATACCGTGCCATTTTGGAACTTTTTGATGACTGCTAAAAACAGAAAAGATGCCAGAGTGTCAGTCCAGTGGAGAGGGCATTTGCCCTGCAAGCAGCCGATCGGGTTCCATCCCCGACTTCCTATACGGTCTCCCGTGGGCTGCCAAGAGTAGTTCCTAAGTGCAGAGTCAGGAGTAAGCCCCGAGCATCGCAGAGCGTGACTCAAACACACGCACAAAAGCTCGCACCTGGCAAGCTTGTTTTTCAGGACATACGTGGAAAGACTAAAGAGACTCCTTGCCTAAAGCGACGTGGGTGTGGCTCGGGCTGCACAGCACTGACCAGGGTGGTCCAGCTTTGGACGCTTCCATATTAATCCAGATCCTGGTCATCATAGGAGCAAGCCAGTTAACCGTAAGAGCAAGCAACTGATCATAAATATTGCTACCAGCCGCACACGCCTGTGCTGTCAAACATTAAATCTTACTCCCACCCCACCTTCCACCAAATCGCCTCGGGCTTCTGAGTAAGTCTGCATATATTATTTTGCCTTGTAGAATGTCTGTCCAAATCTGCCTCTTGACTTCTTACTGAAACCGTCTCCCACATCCCTCAAAGACTCAGTGAAATCAATCTTTTTTGGCTACGCCAACAGGAAACTCTTTCCCCTCCGAAATACCCAGCCCCCAATGTATCATGCTAGCTTCATTTTTTTTTTTTTTTTGCTTTTTGGGTCACACCTGGTGATGCACAGGGGTTCCTCCTGGCTCTGCACTCAGGAATTACTCCTGGCGGTGCTTGGGGGACCCTATGGGATGCTGGGAATCGAACCTGTGTTGGCCACATTGGCTTCGTGCAAGGCAAACGCCCTACCCGCTGTGCTATCGCTCCAGTCCCAGCAGTCTAGTTTTCTTTACTCCTTTCAGCAACCTGACTCCCAAATATTTAGCCTGGCCAATGGTGCAGTATATAGGAGAGACTGAATAGTATTTTTTTTTTTGAGGGGGAAGAGGGGGTCACACCCGGCAATGCTCAGGGGATCATATGGGATGCTGGGGCAAGAAAAAAAAACCAAATATCCCTCTGGTCCACTGAACACTGTTAATGAAACACTGACCTACATAACCAAATAAAGACCTGGGGTGGGGGGCTGGGGGGTGTGGAAATACTGTTTACCAGCTTTATAGAGCCAAGATCTGTAAGTCTTTCATATACAGTTTTTCATCCAAGCGATAGGGTTAGGTGATCAGTCACACAACCGATGATACAGTTACTATGCCAGCAAACAACCTCTGAAAGGGCGGGCTTAAACTTTATAATATAATAATATGTATTACAATGTATAAGGTAAGCTATAATGCTTGTTTACAAAGCAAAATAGCCTAAAACAGCAGTAAGAGAGAACATAACGGCACACAAAAGGAATATGAGTGAGTGGACTGGTGGGGGAGCATCCAGGGTGCCCGAGGCAGCAGTGCTCAGGGGCAAGAAGGCCTCTGGTTAGCTGAAGGAGCTGCTTCAAACATTCATGACATCTGAAATCTGTATTTCAGAGTTTTTAACCTATAACCCTCGGAGGGGGGCAGGTTGAGTTTTCCTCCCTGCCCCAAGCAGCCTGAAGACCTCCAGAACCAGCCGCGGCCATGCTGAGACCACTCTCCACGCACATGAAGGAACTGGCAGAGGAACACAGGCATGCGGGTCCCAGGGCTGAGATCTCCAAGCCTGCTTGGACCGGGAATGGGCCTCCTCCACCCAGATCCCCTACCTTCCAGTAGGTAGGCATCACCCACCAACTGCCCCAGGCGCCAGGCAATCCCATCTATGCCCAAGACCCAGAGACTTAAAACCCTGGCCACAAATGTGGCTGCGCGACATCTTATTATCTAGTTCTTACTCTAGAGAGCCCGGCAGGCTACCGAAAGCATCCTGCCCGCACGGCAGAGTCTGGCAAACTCCCCAGAGTGGCGTACTCAGTATACCAAATACCAGTAACAATGATGGGTCTCATTTTCCTGACCCTGAAAGAGCCTCGAATGTGGCACTTGCTAAAACCTCAAGGGCTAGGATGAAGGAGACGTTACTGGTGCCTGCTCGAGGCAATCGATGAACAACAGGATGATCGTGATCTTGATTGTGAACCTATAAAATGAGCTACAACTCTCACCTGTTTTCGAGAGAGGAAAAACAACAGAGCAGTAATCAAGAGGGGAGGCGGAATGGACTGTATCTGAACACTTAGTAAAGGCCCGGGGTCCTCCTTGTAAAACAGGCAATACAATACCATTTCCTGAGGCTGGACCACAGTACAGCTGGGAGGGCGCTTGCTTTGAGCGCGCGCAGGCAGGCAACCCAGGTTCAACCTCTGGCAACCCGTATGGTTCCCTGAGTAGGGCACCACTAGGAGTAATTCTTGAGTGCAGAGCCAAGAGTAATCCCTCCCACGCCCAAAAGCAAAACAATTTCCTCAGGGCACTTGTGATAAAATAACCTCTATGAATATTCCATAAAATCTTAAGAATATATCTGATGGGGCTGGAGTCATAGCATAGCGGGGAGGGGTTGGCCTTGCACGCGGCCAACCCAGGTTCGATTCCCAGCATCCCATATGGTCCCCCGAGCACCGCCAGGAGTAATACCTGATTGCCTGAAGCAGGAGTAAGCCCTGTGCATCATGGGTGTGACCCCAAAAGAGAATATATCTGATAGGAGCTCAATGAAGCATGGTATGTAAATGCCTTATTAAATATGCAATGCCTCACCAGGCTCTGCTGCGTGCAAAGCAGGCAAGTTACCCTCCCATACTACCCCTTGGGTCACCAAGTCCTTTACTTAAAAAAAAAAAAAAGGGAGGTGGGGTGGAGGCTGGTGCCAGAGTGACAGTACAGAGGGTAAGGCACATGCCCTGGCATGCATGCAGCTGACCCAGCAGAGCCAGGAGTAAGGTCTGTGCACCACCGGATGTGCCTCAGCCGAAAAAATTGTCGGAGGAAAGGGCCACATTTGACAGTGCTCACTCAGGGCTGACTCCTGGTCAGGCTCGGGGCGATATACACGGAGTGCCAGGGATCAAACCTGGGCTGATCATGTGCCAGGTAAGTGTCTTACTGCACTATGATAGTTCTGGTCCTTAAAAACGATCCCCCCCCTTTTGGGTGTGTGTGTGTGGGGGGCATTTAGGAGGGGGGGAGGTTTGGACCACACCCAGCGATGCTTAGAGGTTACTCCTGGTGGTGTCTGGGGGGCCACAGGGGGTTCTGGGGATCGAACTCAGGCTGGCCACATGCAAGGCAAGCACCCTACCCACTGTACTATTTATCTATCTAGCTCCTTAAAGAGTTTTTGTTTTTTAAAAACTGCAGCTTAGATAACAGGGCTACAAGACTTTCATTCTGCTAATGAGCTGAGTGGAAAATATTTGCTTTTGTGAAGTCGGTTTTAATTCTGCCTGCCACTTGCATTTAAAGAGGGTGACTCTGAAGAGGGGCTGATGGGAAGGCCTGGTGAGAGCTGCCACGCAGCTCTGTGTGGCCGAGAGGCAGTCTGCTGGGACAGAACTCGGGGTGCCGTGTGTGCAGGCTCTGGTCCTTTTAGCTAGCGACCAGGTCCCACAGGATGATTTTGCCAGGCCTTTTTTTGCTTGCTGTTATTTAGGGGTCAAGTAAAACCCTGTGGTGCTCAGGGGAGCACGCAGTGTTAGGGATCAAACGCACACGCACGCCAGTCCTTTGAGTTTTTTTCCCGGCCCTCCTCTGTATGCAGAAGCGCACTAATGGAGGGAGCGACTCTGTCAGTAAGTAAGAAGCATATTTAAGTAAGATTTGGAACTTACTCATGTAAAAGATGTTCAGTCACAAATAAACTGGTTTCAGCATAATGAATACTTCTTATTAAAGTATATGTTATTAATGGGGCTGTAGCGATTGCACAGCTGGTAGGGCATTTGCCTTGCACTTGGCCGACCCGGCCAACACGAGTTCAATTCCTCTGCTCCTCTCAGAGAGCCCAGCAAGCTACCGAGAGTATCTCGCCTGCACGGCAAAGCCTGGCAAGCTCCCCAGGACGTATTCAATATGCCAAACACAGTAACAAGTCTTACAACGTTACTGGGCCCGCTTGAGCAAATCATGAACAACGGGAGTGAAAGTGACAGTGATTATTAATGCCACGGCAATGTTTATCATCCTTGGTGAAACGGTCCTTTAAAAGTAGTAACAGGAGCCGAAGCAATAGCACAGCGGGTAGGGGTCATTTGTCCTGCACACGACCGACTCAGATTCGATTCCACCCTGAACCTTGCTAGGAGTAGCCCCTGAGCTCAGAGCCAGGAGTAAATCCTAGATGTTCCCTAGGGTGGCCCCTTCAAATACAGAAAACCACAGGATTCGTAACAAAAACTTAGTTCCCCTTTTACCAGCTAGGGGGCAGGAGAGAGCAATGAGCGTCAAGCCATGGGCTGAGCGCAGGCAAAGCTTGCAGGAGGTCCACGTCCAATCCTGGGTACCGTGTCGGTCCCCTGGGCACTGCCAAGAGTGACCTCCGAGGCTGAACTCAGGATTGCCCCAGAGCACTCATGGGCAAGAGTCAAAAACCAAGAAAAAAAAACAAACAAGTTTCACCACCTAGATAAATGTTTCACTTGAGTGAAGGCGTATGTGCGATTTTGTGAACCTAAAGCATATTTTAAGTTGTTTTCTTTTTTTCCAGGTCACTCCTAGCTGTGCCAAGGACTGACTCTAGGCAGGGCTAAGGGGACCCGGCTGGCTGTGTGCAATGCAAGTGCTTTTATCCAGAGTATTCTCTCTCTTACTGCCCAGAAAAGTACAATTTTTATTGTCCCTCTACTTAGAATGTTACATGTGGTTTCAAACTTACCTTTTCATTTTTCTTGTCTGTCTCTACTGGTTGTTTTGCTGTTGCACTCCGAGGAGTCCGAACAACTTCTTCCTCGGCCACTTCGACAGTCCGTCCATTTGGCTGCACAACAACAACAAAAATCAGTGTCACCCAACTCGGGCAAATCACACCCAGTGCTGCTGCGGTCCACATCAGGCCGTGCTCAGGGCTGACTCCCGGTGGGTCCGGGGGACTGAGCCCGGGCAGGCGGCTGCGAGGCCAGCGTCCACTTGCTGCACCAGGAGGTGCTCAGGAGCAGAATTCTGCCCGGGAATCCCAAATCCGGCTTTTAGTCTCGGTCACTTGCTTAGTTTTAAAAAATAAAAAGGAAAAAAAGAAGGTGGCCACGAGCCTGCTGCCAGTGACGCCCTTCCACTCAGGGTTTTTTGGGGCCGTCACCTGCACTCCGACTCTTCTGCCTTCATCAGCCCGTTGCCTCTCTGCACTTGTTCGCTCTCCTCAGACCCAGTCGGCAAGTCAACCTACTGGTCTGTCACTGGGGGGGGGGGGGGGGGGGGGGGGGGGGAGGTGGTGGTTGTTTTTGGCGCCGTTTAAGCATCAGCGAACATGGGACCGCCACATGCAAAGCGTCCCAGCCCGCTGACCGTCTTCCCAACCTCAACATATTAGTTTCAAGTATTTTATTTCTAGTGCTGACCAAACAGGCGGATATCAAATTGCCTCCTGAACCAAACAAGCTCAGGAGACGCCTCAACCCGGCTGGAGCGGACGTCCTCTGAGCACTATGTCTCCGGTTCCACCCCGGCACTGCGTGACCCCAGCAGCCCTGACTCCCCGAGCACTGTGCTCTCAGGGGCCTGCACAGCCAGGCCAAGTACACCACCACGACTGCTGCGAGCAGTTCCTGAGTCCCTGGGCATTGCTTGCAAGGGTCCCTCAGGGCAAACACAGACAGACAGAAAGGAAGAAGAAAAAAGATCAGCCTTTTCATAATTTAACTCTTGCTAGATTTGGTACAATCACGGAGGACAGAGATAGTTCGAGGCGCTGGACCACATGCCCCAATTAAAAGATGGGGGGTGGGCGCGGAGAGAGACAGCCCAGCTGATAAAGCACTTGCTTCCTATGTGGTCAACTTGGGTTGAATGCGTGGTACCCCATCTGGTCTCCCAACCCTGCTAGGTATGACCCCTGATTGCAGAGCCAGGAGCAAGCCCGAGCACTGCAGTGTGTGGTCCCCAGACCAAAACCTAATGGAAACTCCTTATAAACGGAGACTACAAAGGCTCGGGTTTGGGGGTTGGAGGAACCTGGCATTCTAATTCTCTCTCTCTCTTTCTCTCTCTCTCTCTCATACATATATGTACACACACACACACACACACACACACACGCACACATTACATCCAGCGATGCGCAGGGGATACTCCTGGCTCTGCACTCAGGAATTACTGCTGTTGGTGCTCGGGGAACCATATGGGATGCCAGGGAGTGAATCCAGGTTGGTCGCATGCAAGGCAAACGTCCTACCCACCATACTATCGCTCCGGCCCCCTAACTCATATTTAGTCCCTGAGATTTAGAAACATTTTTCTTAACCTAACCCTCGATCACACCATTTTTGACACGAAGAAAAGATATCCATGTCTTACGTGAGTTTATTATTTATTTTTTGCTTTTGGGGTCACACCCAGCGATGCACAGGGGCTACTACTGGCAGTGCTGGGGGACCATACAGGATGCAGGGAATTGAACCGGGGTCGGCAGTGTGCGAGGCAAATGCCCTACCCGCTCCTCTGTGTTATCACTCCAGCCCCCATCACATGAATTTTTTCAGGAGCCAGAGAGCTCAATGGGCTGAGGCTCATCCCCGGCACAGTAGGGTGGTGATCCCACCTCACTGCCGAGGGAACAGGGAACCCCCTGGTGATCAGAGTCTGGTCCCAACCAACAACAAATGGCAGGAAATGAGGGCTTGAGGGCCAGCTCCAAGGGCTGAGGCGCAGACTTGGCACATGAAAGCCCCAGGCTGGAGGACAGCACAGCCTGGCCAGTGAGCACTGCTGGGGGATATATCCCCAAGTCCCCCCACAAAATAGCAAAAGGGAGAACAGGCGGGAGCTTACGTACTTGCTCAAGAAGCAGTTTCTCGGGGCCAGCAGGTGGGGTGCTTGCCTTACACGTGGCCAACCCAGCCCAATCCCTGGCACCCCAAATGGTCCCCTGAGCCCAGGAACGATTCTTTAGCATCCATGGCCCCTTCGATCTTTTCCAAAGTGATGATGACCACATTCTCAACCCCAAAGTCCAGCACTCGTGTCATTTTGCATACCAGCCCGCTCAGAGCACACACAGAGTCCGGGTGAAGAGGTCCCAGAGGTAACACATGCACGACCAGCTAGACAATTCTGGATACCGACACAAATGAGGCTGCTCTGTGATGCTGTTAGGGAGCTAAATTTTTCTTTTGATGGAGCATCGCAGGGTGTGATACTCAGGGATTACTCCAAGCTCTGCACTCAATTAATTACTCCTGGTGGTGTCTGGAGAACCATATGGGATGCCGGGGATCGAACACTGCAAGGCAAATGTCCTAACCACTGTACTATCGCTCTGGCCCCAGGGAGTCTTAAAAAAATACTGCTGATTCAAAATTTTTGAAGAAAATCACGAAAAGTTCACTCCTTCACTTCCTTGATACATGCTGAACATGGCAAAGATATATATTATACACACACACACACACACACACACACACACACTCTTAAAACAGGTAGGAGTTGCAGCCCTAAGCAGCTTAGAACACCAAGGAGAAAGTAAGTACACAGTAACGCACACTACAACATATGACAAGGGGCAGGGATAGAGCCCAGCACATGTGAAGACCCTGGGTTCAATCCCCAGAACTGGGAGCATAGGAAAGAAAGAAAAGTTAAAAAAAAAAAAAGAAGAATGCAGAAATTACAGCCTGCCTTCTCTACCAAAAAGAAGCTATTCCCAAGGGCTGGAGCGATAGCACAGCGGGTAGGGCGTTTGCCTTGCACGCAGCCAACATGACCGACACAGGTTCGATTCCCAGCACCCCGGATGGTCCCCTGAGCACCGCCAGGAGCGATTCCTGAGTGCACGAGCCAGGAGTAACCCCTGAGCATTGCCGGGTGTGACCCAAAAAAGAAAAGGAAAAAAAAAAAGAAGCTATTCCCAGCATGGTGGGTGGGGATGCTGTGGCACCAGGGACCAAACCTGGGTCTCCTTCATGAGCTCTAGCCCCTTGAACTACAGCCCTGGCCCTGCTCTTAGTGATGGCTTGCTCCAATGTTTTTTTTTTTGGGGGGGTTTTTGGCCACATCTGCTGTATTCAGGGATTCCAACCAGGGTAAGCAGCACGCAGGCAGCACCCCACCCCCTGGACTGTCTCTCTGGACTTCTGGTCTCTGGGCCACACATGGCAGTGCTCAGGCGACCCTAGGAGATGACCCTATCAGATAGAAACTGGGTTGGCTACACACACGGGAAGTGTTTTACCCGATGTATCATTGCTCCAGTATTAATTTTCTAGTTGATAAATATATGGAACATACTAAACATACTGTGTGTACACACACACACAGACACAGACTCCCCCCCCCCCCCCCCCCATACCTGGATGCTGTAGCCCTGTGCTAGGTGCCAAGCATGTACTGCTTCCAGGTAACAGGCTTAGTCCTGGTTTGTCTCTCAGTTCTGGTTGTGAAAAATAGGGATACAAATTCAAAAAAGAAAATGCCTTTAAACCACTTTTGCCTTTTCCCCAAACTCCAAACTCTGCCAAATGTTCACGTTATCAACTACAGACACCAAACGCAAATTATGGCTTAAGTCAGTAGCCAACGGTAAAACTCAACCTCTGGGCGCAGAGTGATAGTACAGCAGATAAGATGCTTTGCTCTGAAAGCACCTATGGGGGGCTGGGCTGGGGAGGGTTTCGATCACTGGCTCCCCACATGGTCCCCTCAGCAGCACCTGTGAGCAGAGCCAGGAGCAAGCCCTTCGAGAAGCTGGGTATGGCCCAAGAAAGAAACAAACCAACAAACACAACTCCAGTCTTGGATCAATTACAACTTAAAAAAAAATTCAAGATCTGGCGACAGGTACCCCGAAGTATTTTCCTCAGTAATAGCTCTTTCTGCGTTCTAAAACAGCCAAAAACAACTCTGAAGGGAATCCAAAATGACCATCTCTCCTGTCACACTGACGTTTTGCACAACAGTTTACCAAAACAAAAACAGTGTAGCTGAAAGGGAACTACATGTTAAGTGGAGGCCCTGCACACATGAGTGTAGGATGACATGGCTTTGTCCTTTCTCCACAAGGAGCTTAGGTCTATCAGGTTACACCCATCACAGTGCTCCAGAGTCACTCCCATTCCTTCGTTTATCTGCAACCACTTCTCTATGCTCTCTTCCCCAACCAGTTAATCAGCTTTCCCCCCCAATCAGAATCTGTTAATTTGTAAGGTCGGATCCTTCTAGGACACTGAATTTGTATTGTAAGTTAATACTGCCTTTCTCCTCTCCTTATGTCTTTTGAATAGTTTACTTTAAAGCAATGCCCTTTCGGTATAGATACAGGAAGACTGTTAATATTATGCTTTGTAACTCAGGATTTGAATGTTATTCACTCCCAGGCAACTGCTTTCTCGACTTAAGCCTCAGTTGCCCTTAGATCCTAGCACCCCAAAAGCAGGGTCCCGACGAGGGACTGAATAGACCCAGGGCAAGCTGTGAGCTACCCTAGCATGGAGATGGGCCAGGCCAAAGTGCCACGATTCTTAACTATAAGTTAAGCACTTGATCACAGACAAATGCTGTCATGACCCAAAAGTAATGATGAGACTAGGACCCTGCTAGGGATAGGAAAGACTATCTGTCCTGAGCACTGTAGTCTGAGATTGAGATGGCCCCAGGAGAGCAATTCTATAAGCTTAAGGTATTTCTTACTGTATCCATACAAAATCATTTATATTACGTATGCTTATATGTTTGTTGGACGAGGAGAGGAGAAACACACCCATGGGATTCCGCTCCAGGGTGGGTCGTCCTAGAAGCGGCTTTCCCCGAGGGAAAGGATTCTACCCCTATTGATTGTGACACACCTATGTGTAATTGTTCCCCCAACCCCTCATGGTTTTGGGATTTAACTAGACTGTAAGAGTGGGTTGGGGGATCAGGATCCAGACTCCAGAAGGAGAAGGAGAAAGGGGGATCCAGATCCAGATTCCAGAGTCAGAAGGAGGATGAAGGGGGATCGAGAAGGAGAATGAAGCAGCATGGGGGAGGAAGAACGGGCAAGGAGAGGCAGAGAGAGAGACAGGAATGAAGAGAGAGAGGATTGGAATAAACGGCAACTGACACAACCAGCCCGGCCCTCGTTCCTTCCTTCGCCTGCCCATCGCCATCGACCTCCCTGGGGTGGGGGGAGCGGCGTGAGACTACCGAACGCAGGCGGCGGGACAGACAGACAGACCGCCGCTGCTGTGTCTCTTTTGAGTTTACACACATGGCATCTACACAAGAAATAAGCTCTGAAACCTGGTCACGTATACCAATTCAGCACATTGATCAACAGTGGCAAAGGCAAGAAAAACAAGAACTTTTTCACATGGGAGGTCATGGTTCGGCTTCCAGTACCCCACAGTGACCCCTGAGCACTGACCCAGGAGCCAGCAGCACCTGAGGCCTGCTAGGTAAGACCCAAAAAGCGTCAACAGGACCGGAGAGAAGGCACAGCAGGTATGGCACTCGCTTTCCAGCTGGCCGACCCAATTCATGTGCGGTGCCCCGAACCCCACCAGGAATGATCCCTGCGTGCAAAGCCAGGAGTAAGCCCTGAGCACCCATGGGTGTGACCTCAACCACCCCCCCCCCCGCAAGAATTCAGAGTGTTTATTGCTGCTCTTGATAATAACTAGGCTAACCGCCAAAGATCTTTCTACCTGGCCAGTCAGTGGCCTATATCGGCAGAGTAACACAATGCGAGAAGTTCTGCCATAGAACAGCCAAGAGTCAAAACTCTGGGGCTGTAATCAAGTTCACTAACATTTTCAAGAGAAACTTCTGATCTAAAATTAAAAAAAGGGCCAGAGTGGGGCTGGAGTGATAGCGTTTGCCTTGCACGCGGCCGACCCGGGTTCGATTCCCAGCATCCCATATGGTCCCCTGAGCACCGCCAGGGATAATTCCTGAGTGCAGAGCCAGGAGGAACCCCTGCGCATCTCCGGGTGTGACCCAAAAAAGGAGAAAAAAAAAAGGGTCGGAGAGCTAGTACAGCTGGTAAGGCGCTTGCCTTGCACTCAGCCAACCCAGGTTTAATCCCTGACATCCCAAAGCCTGCCGCAGTGATTCCTGAGTGCAGAGCCAGGATTTACCCCTGGGCACTGCTGGGTGTGCCCCCCCCCCCCCCCATGTGAAAGCAACAAAGAATGCCCAGAGAGATAGCACAGGCCTTGCTTTATAGACAAACTTGCGGTGACCTGGGTTCAATCCCTGAACACAAAATCAGGATTCAGCCTTGGGCACACCTTCGTGTGGGCCGAACACTACCACCCACCACCAAAGCAATGAAGTTATAACTCCCTGAGAACACTGTTCTCTTGTTCTCGTAATTCATTATAATCCCGTTGGGCATGCCAAGAGACCAGAGATATAACAATTTTTATCCGAGAAATTAAAAACTTGCTTTTGAACTTCTTTGCTCTGTGATCTTGAATAAATCTTTACTCTCTCCGAAATTCAAGATTCCTCTTCTATGAAATTTTTAGTATTGGCAGTACCCCTCACTCAGATCTTTTCAGTCAGACAATGAAAACAAGACCTTTTGGGTGAAGAGGGAAAGTTTAAGATGAAGGGCGGGGGATTAGAAAGTAAAAAGACGACCAGAGTCAAGATGTGTTTCACCTTCACCTGGAATAATACATCAAAATCACTATAAGACAAAAAAAATTTTTTGGGGTGCGGGAGGTGGGTAGGGTGCTCCCAGGTGGTGCTCAGGAGCCCAGGGGCTCCAGAGTGACCCTTGGTCAACACCAGGATCCTGCGGTTCTCAGACCCAGGCATGTGCTCCGACCACTGCCCCATCTCTGAGCCCGAGACAGAACTCCTTCTGAGTGGCCCGGGCATGAGATTAGAGCCGAGATCCAAAGGGCTTAAGTGGCACCCTTGGCTAGAGAGGACCGGCAACAGAGAGGCTGGAAGCCGGAAAACCAGTTAGGAGGAAAGGTGATGAGGTCCCCAAAGTAGGGCAGTGGCCGTGACACGGAAGAGAAATAGGAACACCACAGCCATGAAAGGCAACCGGAATGACTCGGTGGCTGCAGGAAGACGAACTTCGTAAGATTTCATGCAAGTGAGGCCAACACAGCCACGCTGCACCCTGAAAATCAGAAGCGGCTTACGCGCTCTCTGCCTCTCAGGCATGAAAGCCAGAAGCGCGTCACCCGGATGCATTGGTGGGCTCTCACTGCAACAGTCACGCAAGAGAGCACCATCGGAAACACCATCACCTATCAGCGAAGAGACACCCTTGTTCTCTGATCCGTGGAGCATCCAGGTACGGCCAACCGCACCACAGCAAGCTCCGTGAAAGCCCCACACACGGAGCAATCGCACAGGAGGAGGGCGTGCTTGCCCTGCGCACGGCAGACCAGGGTTTGATCCTCCGCATCGCGTTTGGTGTCCCAGAGCCCACAAGCAGGAGGAAGTCCTGAGCACTGCTGGGCGTGACTTCCGAACACAACAAGACCCCAAAGAAAACCCACCAGGAACACACCAGAAAAGGATTCCCGAAAATGAACTGCCCGCCCAACTTCCTGCCCCCGCTTTTTCTTTTCTCCCTCCCCCCACCACAGGCCAAGAACCAAGGCAGATGAAAAACATGCCTTGATCACCCTAATTGGATAAGGGGAGGAATGAACATGCGATTCCTAACCTAAAAAAAAACTGATGGCAAGACATCACCAGAGGAGACAGACTGGACCAATTTCTGAATGTATTTTATCCGGGGGCCAGGGAGCTAGCTGCGCGGGTTGGGTCTCTGGCCCGAGCAGCACCAGGAACATCCCAGGAAGAGCAAGCCTCCAGCAGCCCCGAGCACCGCCAGGCAGGAGACCCGAATACAAACGGAGCACTATGGCACGTTCTCCCTTTGTTCATGGATTTGCTCCAGCGGGCTCAGGAACGTCTCCGCTGTGAGACTCGTTCCTGTGTTTGGCACATGGAATAGCTCAGGGGTAGCTTGCCAAGCTTTGCCCTGCGGGCGAGAGGCGGAGGAATTGAACCCGGAGGAATTGAACCCGGGGTTGCCCGTGCGGCCGAACACCCTACCACTGTGCTATCGCTCCAGCCCCTGAATACAAGTAAATAATACGAAAGGCCGAACACCAAGCTATCCCAACAAATAAAAACAGCATCAGAAGCCAATCTTGAATACTGAAGCTGCAAATCTGGAATTTTAAGGAAAAGTCATGAAAAGCACCGAAAGTCCAAGCAAACACAAAATGTCCTTTGAAAGAAACCGCAGTGGCTTTCATCACGGAATCCACAGGAATCAAAATAAGCATATTCTAAACCGCTGAATTTTATTTTTTATACACGAGAACGGTATAACAGAAGCTAACGCCTTAAAAATCTTTCATTATAGATCCCTGGTCCTCATTTGGTTGGTAATTTTCAGAGGAACAGGCAAAAGATTTACTCAGGGAGCCAACATCAAAAAGGGCCCTGGACCCAGGTCCAGAGAAAATGTCGAGCTGGAGAATCTACAAAATGCTATTCGTTTCGGTCCAAGCCTCGGTACAGCATGGAATGGAAAAAAAACTGCCTTTAAGGACTCCTGCAGCGCCCACGTCTATCCAAGACCTCCACCTTGGGCCTGGGAGATAATTCAAGCGGCAAGGCACAAACCCAAGATCTTCGATCTGCAAACCAGGCCAAATGCCTCCCTCCAGGCTTGCACGCGCCGCTCTCAGCAGGAAGACGGGCAGTCAAGGTTTCCTCCTTGGGCCCTTGGGTGGCTTCTCCGGCCTCTCCCACTGTCTGTCCCCTAAGCCAGACTGTGCTACGAGGTGTCTCGAGCCCATCTTTCCCCCCAAAAGAGCAACCCTCAGGTGCTGGCAGGAGCCCAGGGGAGCCGCGCACAGCCCCGGGGAAGAGACGGCACTTCCCCAAACGGAGACACTGCCTGCCCCGTGATGGTCCTCGCCGCTGCCTGGCTGCAAGCGCCCAGCGCAAGGCAGGTGCAGAGTAAGGGCAGCTCCCACCGGAAGCCTCACGGGGCGGTTTCTGCAACCCACCGAGCGGGTCCCACACGCGCTAAAGGAAACGGTCCGGCACGTGCGCGCCGTGAGCTCTAAAACGCCCTGACTGCAGGCTGCGGCCGGAAAAGACCCCGAAAGGTGCAATTTCAGAAACGCGGAGGAACTTCTCCAGGGCGCGCATCCTCCCTTGGGCGGAGGGCAAAGACGATCTCTCGGCCGATCAACGTGCCAACGCTTGGGCCCTTCTCGCCCTCCGCCACCCCAAAGGATCCCGACACTTCCTCACCCCCCTTCTCCCCCGATTCGAAAGACGGAGGAGGAGGAGCAGGAGCAGGAGCAGGAGCAGGGCTGGGCCCCAAGTCTGAAGCCTCCTTCGGATGAGTCATCCCGGGCGCACCACGCATGCACCTCGGCCGGGCCCGGCGCGCACCTGTCCCCGGCTCGGGCCCGCCCGAAACGCGAGAAGCCCCAGCGAGGGACGCGGAGGGACGCGGAGCGCGAGGGCCGGGGGCCGGGATCCGCGTCCGCTGCCCCCGCCCCCCGCGTTCCTCCCCGATCCGAGCTAGGGCCGGGGGGGGCCCGGCCTGACCGCTCGGGGGCCTCCCCGCGACCCTCCCCCGCGCCCGCACAGGCTCCCCCCTCCCCGGGCCCCCCGCGCACCTTGGGCCTGTCGGGCGGCTTCCTGCGGCCCTTGCGCCGGTGCTCGTCGGCGCGCAGCGTCCGCAGCAGCGCCGGGTCGGCGGGGGGCGCGGCGGGGGCGGCGGCGGCGGGGGCGGGGGCGGCCGCGTCCTCGGCCCGGCGGCGCGGGGGGCCGCGGCGCTTCCTGCGGGCGCCCGCGCACGCCGCGGCCCCAGCCGTAGCCCAGCAGCGCGAGCAGCAGCAGCCCGAGCGCGCCCGCCGCCAGCGCCGGCACCCAGGCCGGGTAGCGCCGCGGCTCCAGCCCCAGGTCGAGGCCCAGCTCGGCGCGCAGGAAGCCCAGGCCGCGCGCCAGCAGCTCCCGCAGCCGCGCCGAGCCCGCCTCGGCCTGCTGGGCCAGCCGCTCCGGCCAGCCCGGCGCCGCCATCTTCGCGCGCGCGCGCCGCTCGCCGCCGCCGCCGCCTCAGGCCCGGCGCATCGCGCGGCCGCGGCCGGGGGCGGGGGGGGCGGCGGGGCGCGCTCTCTCCGGCGGCGGCCGCTAAGCGGCGTCGGGGCGCCAGCGCCGGGGCCCGCCGGCCGTCCTCCCGCGGCGGAACAATGGCGGCTCGGGCCGCGCTCCCACGCCGCGCGCGCGCGCGGGCGGGGGGCGGGGCTGCGGGTCACGTGGGCCGGGCGGCCGGGCGGGGCGGGGCGCCGGGGTGGGCGGGCGGGCGGGGGCGGGGCGGGGCTAGAGTCACGTGGGCGCCATCGGGGCGGGGCGCGGGGTCATGCGGGCACTGTCGGGGCGGGGCTAGTCACGCGGGCGCGGCCGGGGGCGGGGCGCCGGGCAGGCGGGCGGGCGGGGGCGGGGCGGGGCTAGAGTCACGTGGGCGCGATCCGGGCGGGGCGCGGGTCATGCAGGCACTGTCGGGGGCGGGGCTAGTCACGCGGGCGCGGCCGGGGGCGGGGCGCCGGGCAGGCGGGCGGGCGGGCGGCGGGGCGGGGCTAGAGTCACGTGGGCACGATCGGGGCGGGATGAGGAGCAGGCGGGGATCACGCGGGCGCTGTCGGGGCGGGGCGCGGGTCACGCGGGCGCGGCCGGGGGCGGGGCTAGAGTCACGTGGGCACGATCGGGGCGGGGGTGAGGAGCAGGCGGGGGTCTCGCGGGGCGCGATCGGCGGTGGGACGCGGGTCACGCGGGCGAGGCGGAGGGCGGGGCGCCGGGTAGGCGGGCGGGCGGGGCCGGTGGTGGGACGAGGCGCCGGGTAGGAGGGAGGGGGCGGGGCTAGAGTCACGTGGGCACGATCGGGGCGGGGCCGGGGCGGGGCTAGGGCCACGTGGGCGCGGCCGGAGGCTGGAGCGGTTGGTGCGCTGCGAAGTGGGTCGGGCGCGGTGCGAGACGCGGAGTCCCGGGCCGCTTTGGTCTCGCACCGGAAGGACCAGCGCGGGGAGGCCCCGCCGGAGGGGAGGGCAGCTGACCCCCGAGCTGGGAGGCCGGCGCTTGGGACGAGTCCCGGCAAGGCAAACGCCCCACCTGCTGGCCCTAGATGAAAATCTTTTTTTTTTTAAAAAAACTGCTTCATAATCTAGCTTCTTCAGCTGTGGGTTGTGACTGACCCCAAGTGGGGGTAACAATGTAGGGGTTGAGAAGATCAGTGGCAAAATGGGAGTATCAACCATTTTTTTGGTGGGGAGAACCCCATCTGTGCTAGGGCTTACTCCAGGCAGTGCTGGCGGGTGGGGAGAGTGGGTGGGTGGTCGGTATGGGGCGAAACTGGGGATGAAGCTGGGAATCAACCGTGTGCCAGGCAAGCTCATTCCTGTCCTTCCATCAGTAAGTCAACGGGTGATTGCAAACCATAACACCCAAAAGGAGAGAGTAAAAGGGAACATGCCCGCCACAGAGGGGCTGGAGAGATCATGGGAACCTTGGGGCGAGGAAGGGGCACTCGATCATGTGTGACTGAGCCCTAGTCATGAACATTTGTGAGTCTGTAACTACCTCACAGTGCTTCATTAAAAGACATAAAGAAGAAAGAAAAGCTTAAAAACAGATCGATAGATATTTTATATTGTAGATCAATTTTATATACCTGGGGTCATGTAAAAGATTCTGAGATAGAATTTCAGCTTGCAAGTGGAAAAAGCTAGGAAGATTTTAAAGGTAGCATGGATAGATGTTGAGGCCAGTGTGGACTCCGGCGGATGGGGTGTTTGCCTTGCAGGCAGCTGACCCAGCTTGGATCCTTGACATTCCGCATGTCCCCCTAGAGCACCGCTCAGAGTAACCCAGAGCATCACTGGGTGTGACTCAAAAAAACGCAAAAATAAAATAAAGCGCCACAGTCTAAAAGGGTATAGCTCAGCTAGACTTGCAATGGAAGCTTTTTGTTTTTGTTTTTGTTTTTGTTTTTTTTCATTTGGAAAGTCCTCCTCCCTTGGTGCTCAGGGGACTGTGCAGTGCTGGGGTGGAGCCTGGGCCTCCTGCATGAAAAACCCGCGCTTCAGCCCTCTCAGCCATTTCCCTGGCCCTCAGCATCCCAATTCTTTTTTTTTTTTTCTTTTTGGGTCCCCTTCCAGTGATGCACAAGGGTTTCTCCTGGCTCATCCACTGGGGAATTACTCCTGGTGGTGCGAGGGCGACCCTATGGGATGCTGGGAATTGAACTCAGGTTGGCTGTGTGCAAGGCAGACGCCCTACCAGTCAGCGATCGCTCCAGCCCCCCCAGTTCTTGAACATGACAAAGTTCAGATCAATGCCTCACAGAAGGAGCCCGGGAGAGTAAGGAATGCTTGCTGCCATCACGGTGCACCAACTGGATGATCTGGTTCTGTTCCTGCAAAGTCAAAGGGTACAAATTAGTGTTGTGAAAGCCAATCAGCCAACAGCCATTGGCGGTTGGTCGGGGAGGGTTAGGAGAGGTGGAATTACAAAGGGGCCCCAGTAGAATTTGAGAGTGATGGGTATGTTCATTTCTACATTGTGATTTAGAAGCATCTGAGTATATCAAAACTTACTGGATGATGTACTTTTTAAGTATTGTAGTTTATGTTAGCAAAAAAGTTCAAATTGAGCTAAAATAATAGTAAACCAGGAAGGGCGCTTGCCTTGTACATGGCCAACCAGGATTGATTGATTGATTTTTATTTATTTATTTATTTTTGTGTTTTGGGTCACACCCGGCGATGCTCAGGGGTTACTCCTGGCTCATGCACTCAGGAATCACTCCTGGTGGTGCTCGGGGGACCATATGGGATGCTGGAAATCGAACCCAGGTTGGCCATGTTGGCTGTGTGCAAGGCAAACGCCCTACCCGCTGTGCTATTGCTCCAGCCCCGCCAACCAGGATTTAATCCCTGCCATCCCATATGGTTCCCCCGAGCACTGCCAGGAGTAATACCTGACCACTGCTGGGTGTGGGCCCCCCACCCCAAAGCAACAAAAACAGTTCAAACCAAATATATATATGTATGTTTGTTTGTTTGTTTTCTTGACCTTATTAGCTGGTGCTCAGGGCTGCTTCCTTCTGGCTTTGAGTACCAGCCCCCCGTGTACCAGCCCTCGAGTCTAGCTCCTGCTCAAACGGCAAGAAATCACAGTGGACCTGCCTGACTCAAGTTCTTACAGAGCTAAGACGCTCCTTCACAGCAGGATGGAGGGGTGGGGGGGGATTTCAGAACAGTTTGACTAATCTGTGCTTTAAAAAACAAGCTTCAGGGCCTGGCGTGACAGTATAGTGGGTAAGGCACTTCTGTGCATGCAGCAGACCCAGGTTCAGTCCCCAGCATCCTGTATAGGTCCCGAGCACTGCCAGGAGTGACTCCTGAGTGCAGAGCCAGGAGTAACCCTCAAGCACTGCCGGGTGTGGCCCAAAAGCCCAAAAAACAAGTTTCAGAGAGAAGGAAAATATCTGCCATAGAGGGAAGGCTGGGAGTGGGGGTGGTGGGAGATGGGTGGGAAACTGGGGGCATTGGTGGTGGGAAATTGATATGCTGAAGAGAAAGATGCTGGAACATTGTATGCTGAAACCCAATCGAGAACGCTCTGTGACTATCTCATGGTGATACAATTCAAAAAACAACCACCACCTTGCCCCCCACCAGCCTGCCAAAAAAGACAAAAAAAAAAAAACAGACAAGTTTGACCCTTCAGGGATGTGGCTCAGTGGTAGAGAGTTTGTCTCACAGGCGTGAGTCCCGGGGTTCAGTTCCCGGCACCTCCCAAAGCAAATTGGAAGTAGTTTTTCTGTGAAGTTGCCTTTATCCACCTGTTGGGACCCAGGTGGTGCTGGGGGTGGACTGTGTGGGTCTGGGTCAGGACCTGGGGCTCTGAGCCTTACCCCCAGCCCTGCTGTGTCTCCCTGTGATGCTCATTAACAGAGGCTGTTTTGTGGAGGTTTTCACAATAAATATGAATTCTGTTCCTTGGCTTCGTTGGACTTTATTGAACATTTTATTTTTTTTATTTAATTTTTTTTTTTTTTTTTTGCTTTTTGGGTCACACCCGGCTTTGCACAGGGGTTACTCCTGGCTCATGCACACAGGAATTACTCCTGGCGGCGTTCGGGGGACTATATGGGATGCTGGGAATCGAACCCAGGTCAACTGCGTGCAAGGCAAACGCCCTACCCACTGTGCTATCACTCCAGCCCCTTTATTGAACATTTTAACACTGGATCATTTGATTATTGGCAGGGTTTTTTTCTTTGTTTGTTTGTTTTTTCTTCTTTGCCCTTAAATTCAACTCTGTCCTGAGCGTGCCCATGTCTAAGTCTTCGCGATGGTCCGTAATTAGTCCCTGAAGATGGAATCCGGCCCTGCGATTGCTGGAGCCCCAGCCCGCGGCACGGCCTTGGCCCTTGTAATCAGGGCATCTAATAGCATGGCAGTGAGCTGGGCCGCCTGGGGGCCCCAGCCCTGACTCGGCTTGAGGGCAGCCTGGGGACGCGTCAGGCAGCACAGTTCCAACTGGGAGCCCAGAGAGGGTTTGAGGCCAGGCCTGGGAGCACCAGAGCGGGATTTTATTGCTGGGGTTGGAAGAGCAGGTGAGGCAGTGACCGCCAGGAAGCTGGTACTCTTGATGAAAGGCCACTGGCTTGTCACTTTCTGAAGGCAGCTGGGCTGTATGGAGTGTGTTTTGGTTCTGCAGAGTTCATCACTAGGGTTCTCCAAGAACTCATTGGACCAGCAGGAAGGTGAAATTGCACAGTCATCATTTTGTCCCTTCTAACAAGAAGCATCGAGTGGGTACTTTGGGGGTGGGGGAGTTCAGTTGAGGTTGGTTTGTGCTGGAACCCATTTTTTTTGGGGGGGTCACACCCAGTGATGCTCAGGGGTTACTCCTGGCTCTGCACTCAGGAATTACTCCTGGTGGTGCTTGGGGGACCATATGGGATGCCGGGGATTGAACTCGGGTCAGCCGCGTGCAAGGCAAACGCCCTCCCCACTGTATGATGGCTTCGG